AGATTTTGGCATCCACTTTAGCTGCAAATCCAAAATCACTTATTGATAAGGGATGGTCTACTTTAACAGACCATCAGCTGTCAGCTGAATGGAGGCACCACCCTTTTCTAACAATGCCCACACGCTATTGATTATTGGGGTTGCTGGCAAGGCATGAAAGAGCGGATCAGAGATCGAGAGTTGATGCCTTTTGTTTCCATAGCACCACAATCACTTTCAAACAATGTGATGTATAGAAGGGCCAAAGGCGATCTCCACCTAAACTGAATTAAACTGAAAAAGCACACATACACAGCACAAAGAGAGATGCAGAAATACATACTGAGAAACAAACAATACACCAGCTGAAATTAAACCGATCTGATGAGAAGAACAGAATACCCGCTTCTGCACTCCGCGTTGAGGATATATTGTTTAACGGCGTTAATTGTTAGAGGAAGCTGCACCTTTCCTGTCCCTACATCTCCATGGAAACCAATGCATCCCCCCGAGATGCCCTGGTCTCATTGGCCAAGCCAGGTGCACCAATGTGAGCTGAACAGGACATTCACCATGTCCATTGGGTTTGTGACTCACTCTGCATTTATACAAATGGCTGCATGAGTGTGTTGTGTGTATACACGGGATTTTTGGTAGATTGGATCTGTTTGATCAAAACTGCGAATTCTCTTTAAAACCAAACGATGCTTTGCACAATAATCTGAGTCTAGTGGGTGAACTTCGCACTGTAACATTTCCATCAAGCATACCTTGTTTTTCCATTAGAGAATCTCATAAATTGTTCCATTTTTTGCTGTCTCACAAGACTGACAGCAGCACTTCGAGCTTTGTATGATGTGCTGCTGCAAAAAACACTGATCTGACGAATGCCAGCAACCACAGGCTTGTCATTTGCAATTATACTCTTCCTTTTTTTATGCCCCCCTTTTCCTTTATCTCATCTTGGAGTTTAAGTCCCAGTATTATTTAATTAATCACCATATTTAACAGTTGGCCCATAAACGTCCCAACCTGAATATTAACGTCAAAGAGTGTCACATTGCTTTTAAACATCGGAAGCACAGATTCTGATATTTTAAGCTTTAAATAATGATATTTAAAGAGGCAGACTAACATTACTGAGGTCATATTCCCATTTCGGTTGAGAAGTATCTTTTTGAATCCTGTTGAATACTGTCAAGAATACCTCAAGTTGATTTTATTACCTTACAGCTGTCAACACAACTCGTGTTTGGCCAGATTTTCTGTTGGTCTATGCTAACACAAAATTTTTGTACTATTAAATTAATTAGCTATTTAATTAATCACAGGTACTAAGGATTACAGTGTTCATCTTACTGCTGTTAGTCCACCATTTAACACCAAAAAAGCAACCAAAAAACCCCCCTCCAACTCTAAGCTCTAACTCCACTGAGCCTAGAATGCCGGTGATAGCTGCTGCTAGGAGTGTTAATTTATTTGGAATGCCAGGGGGGAGTTGTTAGCAGAATGAGCGTGTAATTGGTGTGGGTGGCTCGCTCAAAGCTGTGAGCATGGTGCCAAAGCTCTGGCTGTCTCGTAGCTCTTCACTGAGTCCTCACCCTGAATTTTAAGAGTGAAGCCCCTCATAATTTTGGCCCTTAATACTTTTATTTTCAAGTAACACTACATCTGCCATCAATCTAACAGTTAGCACAGTAGTCTAATATAGGCCATATGGTCTATTTGCAGAGTTCGGTCCATAATACAAAGAGAAAAAACCTCGGTGTGCCTTTACTTACCAATCTGCACACACACAGCTCGCCATCGTCAAACATTAACTTTTGTGTGTTTTGTGTATCTAAGTGACATATTGAAATATCAAAATACAACTGAAACATGATAGAATAATTGTTGTTCCTCACAGGTTCCTGTGAGTCTGATTCTTTCCTTTGACTTTAATAAATACCTGCAGTTTCTCACAGCATGCAGCCGTGCCCTCATTAATGCATGTGGCACATCAGCATTAACTTAGGATGTTAGTATGCAATTAGATCTGACAGTAAATAAAGTTTTGTTCTTCTTCTTCTATATATCCCTACATCTGTTAACCAGATTTCAGGGTTATAAGGCAGACTTGTTTATAATAAAACAATTCTTGTCTTGATAAATCCCACACTCTACTGAGCTATCAGATTTTCATGGTCCTTTTTCAGTCCTTTTTTATATTAGATTGCATACTCTTATCAGAGTACCTGTTTATTTGTGCTGCTCATGTCATTGTTGGAATAAACCGACTGTGTCTGTATTTGAAAAACTGTGTGTTTTATGAATGACCTGCTGAGGTGTTCCCTCCCATCTACACGTGGTTTAATAAGTGTGACTTGTTGCAAACTTGTCCCAATCACATCACGGATTAAGACCTGTCTGTGTACTTGAAGGGCAAATTACCAAAGTGTAACAGGGGAGCAGACACTAATGATATACATGGCCATTCCATGTTCTAAGCATCACTCCCTACAAATCCAATGCCCTGTTTTTCTGTTTCTAGAGGGGCCCTAAACAGTCAATGATTGCTCTGCTCTGGGAAAGCAGGAAAAGCCAGGGGCAGGGTCGGCGTTGAAGGGGAATCGACTGCAGGCTTCTGTTAATTAAAGCCCCCTGATGCTCGGAGAGAGAGTATTTCTGTGGCCATACAAGCTTTTGCTTCCAAAAATCCTCTTTTAGCATTTATTTTTTTATTATCACTTACAATTTCTTTCTGTTAATTCTGAGCATTTAAGCATGGACCTTCACTTCCTAAAGTGATGCTTTGTGCAACATGTGGTAAAAAAAAAAAAAAGTCTCCCACAATTAAGACTAATCGTAACAAAATGAAGTATGGAGTGCAAAAATAAGTGTAGCTCATGTCTACTTCCATAACTGTGATACAAATTACAATATGAAGCCAGCTGCTGTTAAGGATACAATATATGTAAAGCATGGTGACATATAACTGAATAAATACAAAGACTTTATAACGGGAACAGCCTACATTTGCAAAAATTATGAGTCAATATTATATTCCTCCTTCCTCCATCCTTTGTTTTGGAAGGCTTATTTTTAACAGTGCATACGTGGGGCTGTGTGGGCTGGTTTCATGAGACAGGATGTGTGGGATGTTCACAATGGAGCCAAAACAGCAAAACCTGTCAATGTTGGGCCTCAGTGAAGAAATGGAGTCAATAAATGTTGCAGGGTCTCTAGGTTAAAAGAAGCACTGCTGAAACAAAATACCGTTTGTAGTAGACTTTCTCCTTTCTTTTTTTTTTTTGCATCAAAAGCATTAGTTAGGTCCAATTATACTACAAATTTGGGACTAAAGTATTTTAAATCTGTGCAATGCTGTGCTTTTAAATGTAAGAATTTGAAATTTAAAGATATTTAAATAAAAGGAACTGTTGAATCTGATTTTAATACATTAATATTCTTGTTCAATCAATATTCAAATATTCAAAATTCAATTATTTAAAAAAATTATATATATATATATATTAATATAAAGATAAAAACGTGAATGTGAATGTGTAAGCATAGTGTAAGTACTTTTCAGAGCCAGCAGAGGGCAGCAAACCCACAACACACATTATTATTATGTCATCAAAAATGTCCTGTTATTTCTGGATATAATTAGTCACTTAATGAGAGGGAAACAGGGTTCATTTTAATCATTTAATCTGTAGTCAAAGCAGCAGGCTTTATTATGTCTTCAACAGCACTCAAGATAACATCAAGGGAAACATATCCAGCTCTCTGTTAGGAGTAATAGATACTGACATTGACTTTCCTTTATTGCGAGGTGCACACAGTCAAGAATCTGAAGTCACTTCCACGTACGATCAGATCAGAGCACTGATGCGAGTTAAGGTCTTCATTTTTAACTCACTGCATTTACTTGGCATTTACATCAATAATACACTAACACACATAGTCCCTGACTGATATATAACAATACAGGCAGCTCACAAAGACTCCCCTCCCTCCTCCACACACATCATTGTTGTGGCGTGGGTGATAAGAAAAAATGAGTCATCTCAGAAGGTGCTTTCAGAGATGGAGACAACCATCTACCGTTGACCTGCTCCAAAGCTTTTCCTCAACACCAGTTAGGAATTTAAAAGGCTATTTTTTTGTATTGTCCCCAATAATCACATAAAAACCTCTATTTGACTTGCATTTAATAATAAAAACAATACCATAGCTATCTGCAAACAGACAGTTATTCCAGCATTTCAAACACACACAGGTTTCAACAGGTCTTTGCATCAATTTGCTCTAAATCTCCTCTTACCTCCTCACTCGTTTTCTCATTGTTATGGCCATTGCCAACCCCGCCCTCCTGCTCCTGCTCCAGCAGCCTGCAGGCTGACTTACCTCAGCCAGCAGCACTCTTCCCTTACCCCTCTACGCTGTTACCAATTTCCTCTCCACCGGGTTTTATCTTCCTGCCCTAAGCCTCCCTCCAGTCCTTCTCTCTATTACTGCATTGTATGTCTCTACTCTATTAAAAGGAGTTTCTACACCTTCGTCAACATGACGTGGGAGAAATGGTAATAAAATGTGTGACACAGAGCCTCGCCGTCTGATGCTGTCTGATGTCTGATGCTGTCCAGTGCTAAACACACCAAGCATTATTAGATCAAGCTGAATTCTATATTTTTTTCTAAATATGTACATGTAAATGTGTGAGTAATGGCTGTTTAAATGCTTCCCCGCGGTTATAAATCAAGCGCATTGAGGCATCTGTTGCTGTGATTTGACTTTATATAAATAAAACTGAATTGAATTGAATTATAATCATGTTGCTCTCAATAAAATATCTCCCTCTGCTGGTATTGCATCTCACTGCAACTTGCTGCAACTTCTGAATTCATGTGCTTTTCACACTTTGGAGAGGCAAAGCGTGAAATGGACACAGTAGAACATGTATCTATTACATGTTTTTCTGTGATACTGGGTTGAACATAAACTGCCCTAAAAATACAGTGTAGTATTCTTCTTACTTTTCATGTCATCCAGATCAGCGCTGACCAACATTTGGGCTTCAGCCTCATCAGTGGGCACCTGCTGATAGACGGCAGTCTCCAGGGCAGTCATGCTGCCGATGCAGATCCGCTCCCGCAGGTCGTAGTTGCTTCGCTGGGTGCCCGGCACACGGTGGTGGACAGGCTTCTTGCGGAACCAGCCATGAGGTGTGATTGAACTTGAGGGATCTGATCCTGAGGGAACGCTGACAAAGAGCACTATAAGTTAGGCTCGTGAAATTTTAATTTAATAATTCAATAATTAATTCTTTGACATTATGAAAGAACTTTTATTGTTTTCAAAACCAAAATATGAACCACAATGTAGTCCACAAATCAACCATAAAGCATCACATTATAAAGTATTAATATACTTTATGTTAAAATCGTTTTTGATAAATACTCTCTTGGCTCATGCACTGCGGTTACTTTACCAACAGAGGGCTTCACAACACAACAACAGGCCTGGATCTCCTCTCCAAGCCTCTGAGTCATCCTCAGCTGAGCTCACTCAAACACAGCAATGAAACGTTGCATGGCTCAGGCATGATGCTTGTTTCTGTGCTTTTATCCAGCGTGCCATTAGCAGAGAAAATGACTTGAATCGCCATGGCGCCCCTGACCTCCCAACAGCAAACTCCATGCATAATTCAAAGCATCACCAAATAATTTATATTCTGATGGTTATATTGTATGTGTTAGCAAGCCAGATATGAATGATTCAGCTGGAACCATTAATGGATCATAACTGCCCTAAGAACTGCACGTATGGGTTATAAATGTTATTGGCTTCCAATGACAAGTATCACATATCTAAAAATACAGCTTACTTAGCCTATGCTCTCGCATGCATGAGCCTGTTTCATATGTTTTGCTGCATGAAAAAGTATTCACACAGTTAAAGGTTTCAAATTCAGAAAACAACAGAAAACACTGAATATAAACCAAAATGCATTTAATAAATTTGAACCTGATAAAATGCTAAATTATGACTGTTGTTAGGAAAATGTAACCAGCAACATGCTCCTGTGATAGGCTTTATCACTGCCAAATTCTGCCTTGTGAAACAGACAGCAGTCAGGGATAAACTGATAACAAAAGGCTGTTAAAGCTGCATAATTAAGCGGGTGAAAGTTTAACAAAGGACTTGGTGTAGTGTGAAAGAATTTGCTCACAATGATAATTCTACAGCTAATCTCATCCCTGTATTTCCCCACAGTGTTTTAGCATCTTTTAGCAATGTATTTCAGTTTTATGGCCCACAGCTTTAATAGCCTCCCACTGCTTTAATCAGCTGTGTTTTCAGCTTCAGTGGGCAGCTGTTTCCAGCAATATAATCGTTAATGAACACACTGTTACCTGTCCAACATATCAGCCACACACAGACAACTTTAGCAGCTAGCTTAACTTTAGCAGCTAGCTGCTAATGGTCAGATACCTGAAAAACGACACATTTATGGGTTGGTGGAGATCAAAATAGAGATGCACAGCTAAAGGTAGAGCAGTTTATGAGGTGACTGTAACTGTTTGTGTATGTAAGTATGCGTGTCCTCCATACTCTCCCCCGCACTCGTTATATTATCCATTTTTGATCTGCACACAGCTGTTGCCACGAACGTAGCACTCGCTTACGTCATTGTCATGAGACACTCACAGCGTGCTTACGGGAAAGTAACAGTAATCTAATTACCTTTTTTGCAATAGTAATCCCTTACTTTACTCACTTTACTTACTTGTAAGTCGTTACTGCCCATCTCTGCCCACGGCCACCTTGAACCCATCTGTCCCTCCAACTGAACA